CAAACGTTTCGACATCTTCAAATACATTTAAGTTAGCAAAATTTACTGAATACTTTTTTATTTCATAATCTCAATGCTCGAGCAAAATATATGGATACGTACAAAATTTTTAATTAAAACTCACTATCGATAAATTAATGAAGGAACGTGATATCTCATAATTTTGCTTAAGTATCTTATGAGGGAATAAACTATTTATTTATATATTCTGCAATGGATTACTTCAAAAACTCAATCTTCCACATTTCATGTATAATTAAAAGGTAAGAGTATATTTTGCATGTGAAGTCGTTTACGTTTTGCTATATCGCATTAAATACAATTTCCATTCCACATTATAAAAATTTTTTCTTTATTTTCAGACTTTCTGCAAAAAGAAAATTACAATGTAATCACTCTGCTTGCAAGACGATTTTATTTTATCTTATTATTATGGCTAATACGTTATAAAGAATTGATAATACTTAACTAATTAAAAAAAAGTTTCAGATTAATCCTATTAATAAAAAAAATCCACAAAGCTAGAAAAATAAAGTATTAGGTTTACAATAGCAATCAAAGAAAAAACGCTGTGGAATCTTGTTAGCAAATTGGTATCAGTCTACAACAACACGATTCTATTTCATGACTTCTTATTTTTTTCCGCTTTTATATGAGAGTTCTGTTATTTATTATAAAAGTCGTATATAACTTTACTATCGGTGTTTTTAGTCTATAAAATATTCACATCATTTTTATAAAGTATTTATATTTTATACCAATATTATTGAAACGTATTTTCTTTTAACCACTTTAATATATTATGTAAACATTTACTGATATAAAATAAACATGAATTTGAGGCTTCGATGGATGCAAACATATTATTCTTTATGAACGTATATTTTGATTCATGTCTGCTTATGGATATCATTAATTTTTAATGATAAAATACGGAAATTTCCTACATCAATAATTCAACATCATTTTCATATGTCACTAAATAATAATATTTTGCTAACTAAAATGTATGTAACGTTTATATTACAAACACTACTGACCAAAAATTTGCTAAATGCTCTTGGCACGAACAAAAGTATATATAAAAAATTATAAGTCTAAAGTATTTAAAATACCTGCGGGACTGCTCACCGCTACAAGCGCTATCTCAATTAAAACATTTGAAATTCAATCGCAAGTTTCCTTTACGTTTTTTGTTACTCGTTTTTTTTTTGTTACTCGAGGAACGCCTCCTCCTTTTTATTCACTTCATTAAATTAAATTTTCATATTTTGTAAAATCTTCGTATGAAAAAATAACTATTCATTTAGTACAATGATAAACTTTACTAAGTAAAAAAAAAAGTAATTTTAGTTAAATGTATAGAATATTGTTTACTATTACCTGTAAATTCGGAATTAGTCACAGACAGATATATTTATTTATGGGGTTATGTAATATTAAATATATAGAAATCTATAAGTATATAGAAACAATTCAAGCTGACTGAATGTTGAGATGATTGTGTTACCAAATCGATTAAAAATATGAATGAGTCCGACTAACACAGACGAGCTACAGAACACAAAACGAGCGCTTAAAATTTTTATGTCTATCTATTGTCTCTGCGGACTTTAATCACCGATACCACTCAAAATATTTTTGTAATAGTAACAATTAACGCACCGGCTAAAGTCCGATGAAATCCCAATAAAACAAACACATATAACACAATTGAATTTTTTACTTTGTGACTATCTATTTTTAAATTTATTCTTTAAGATTATGTTATTTTTTGCTCATAAACAACTCTCGTTTTGCAGCACCAGGCAAAGAGCTTTTCCTTTAGTGCTCAAAGATAGAGCTGTCTAAAATGTTTGCAATGCATTTGGTGCATATATCTTTAAATCGCAGCTGCTAAGAATTGCGTTTTCTGACTATTATATAAAAACCCATTTAAGCTATAGATGTCGAATGTCAATAAATATTTCAAAAATATAAATCACTTTAATATTATTATTCTACAACAATAAATTTTATTTTGAGTTACCGATATAATTAAATCGAATATTGTTTTTACTAAGAGGATAGTATAAACATTACTTCTCTTATAAGAATTCATCTTTATCTCAGTAGAAGAAAATAAATGGCACAAAAATAAAATTTTTAAAAATATTAAGCTTTTAACTTATACAGTATTTATAAATAATACTCGTCATATTTTAATAGTCGAATGGCTTTTGATGCTGTTTCTATACAATACTAAATGGTTTGATAGGCCACAGATCGTCATGTTTTACCTCAAAACTGTTACGATATTTTCACGATAAACCGAACGCTTGCCCGTTCGATTCAGACCGAATCTGGCTGATAAGTAAAATTGCTCTCTATTAAAGTCCAAATGTACATTTTATATTTCATCCTAACATTATATATATTTTTTTTTTACAAAAAGTGAAATTATGAAGACTTGCAGCTAATGTACTTGAATAAAATAAGAAGCTAATTTATTACAATGGAAGCATTAATTGATTATGGATATAGCGGATTAATTAAGAAATTATGTGCATGAAATACACTTGCAATATTAAGCCCTGATCGTCGTTTAGTTCATCCTCTTATCGGAGATTACATCATGTTAAAATATATATTATAAATATAGTTCAGATTTAGCTGAGAGTTACTTAAGATTAATTTATGATAATACCATGCTTGTATTATGAAGAATAAATTTAACGCTTCTGTAATACTTTTCATTAAACGACATCTAAATACATATGTCACTTTATATTCAATATTTAGTATATAATATGTGACAGAATTTTGGAAATTGTATAAAATACTTCATTTTAGATCACTTCGAATATTTTGGGCATTGTGATGTATTAATTCAAATCGTTCACAAAATTATTACACACACAATTCATGAGAGAATATTTACCCAAAATTATTTAGACATATGAATTTAAATTATAACGTTGGACGTTTTCAATAGCCAGTGATTTTCTATAATAATCATTGCAAATTGAGTGTCATTACCAATGGATTACATTGTCGGAATCTGGTTGTGTTTTAATAATTGAAGCTTAGTATAAAAGAAAAACAACTCATTGACTTTTTCTACTATACTCAAAACAGTTCTCCTTAAGCAAACAAGTATTAAAGGCACAATTCTGGACCAACAAATTGGTACTTTAGAAATTATAATATAAATTATGGTATTAATTTTAGTAATTATGGTAAGAAGAGCTGTTATAGTAACGGAGTCTGTATTCCGAGAACAAACTTGATAATCAGACTACAGTTATCTGATATGAAACTATAGTCAAGACGCAATTAGAATCCTATTACATTAATTAGTTTAATGAATATGATTTTTGTTTAATTTGTTAATAACCTGAAGAGCTTCGTTGTTTTGAACTTTGACTAATTTAACAGATTCATATTAGACTAAACTGAAATGTCGGGAACATCGAGGTGGAAAGGAGACCTGTATTGAAACTTGAATAACTTTTACCCAACTTCCACACAGAATTTGTTGCTGGATTCAAAACTTAAACAGAACCATCTTTGAAATCATTGAGAAAATATAAGCGATAGTCATATTAATATTTTAAAACTTTTAAAATAACTTTAAAACTTAAACATTTTTAAATATTTTGTTATAAATTTATTATTATTGTTGAATTATGAAAGTTTAAAACAATCCGTATTTTTTTTTTTTTGATGATTACATAAAGTTCTAACCTCATCACTAAAAAGCAAATACGAAAAATTTCTCCACAAAAATAATATTTATTTGAATATATGTACGTACATATATAAATGTATCTCTACTGGTATTCATAGAACAACCTCTTAAAACCTTTGTTTGTGTTAGTAACAGTATGCAAACCCCCTCACCTCAAATAATCTGAATACGCAGATGCACCTCTCTATAAATTATCCTGCCGGCGTCATGTCCTTTACATAGGTAGAACAATTAGAAGCAACTTTTCTATAGGTACAAATGAAATACTAACAATTTGTATGACACATACTATGAAGTCGCATTTTCCGTATAATTTCAAAGTTTTATTTAAGTAAAAAGTCTTTGTGGAACGTTTTTATTAAAAGCTAATTAAATTTTATATGCATACTATACACTGTCATTCAAAATTATCACCTAACCTAATCGTTTTACGGCTTGCTTTCTTTTAATGGAACCCGTATCAGAAAATATAGAACAAAGTACGAAAGTACAAACATTAATAGTAAATAGATAATGGAGCTTTTAAAGTTGGAGTAACATAAATGAATTTATTTATTTAGAAGGATATCTAGTCCATATATGTTTATTTAAATTGTATCGTAACGCAAACTGATAGGTTAAGAATATTAGCAGCCTCCGGATGGACCTGAAAACGCATTTCGATCCGGGTCGCATGAAAAGTAAACTGGATTCTAAGCTTTGGGGGAAACTAAATAGAGCGAGACGGTACTTCACACCGGTATTCCTGCTTTTACTTCACAAAGCACAGTCCTCTCCCTGCATAGAGTATTATTCCCACCTCTGTTGCCTCCCCAAATCAATGTAATCCCTTTGAAACCATACAACCTTGACAATTCCTATGTTCCACAAACCCTAATGTTTTTGATTGCATGTACAAAGTCACGTCATCGACATGATCTTTCTTCCTAGATTCTCTGACATCATGATGTATTTCATTATGAAAATATCTATACACTTAAATACAGTGTCATAATGATTGTTTATTATAATAAAGGAGATGGATTCACATCGGATATCAATGACCGATAGTGACTAATTACCATCAGGCGCACAGTCTTCTCGTTTTCCATTTACATAATGAAAACAAAAGGTCGCTGGCTGCTGTTTACAACTGTTAAAAAAATATTAAAGCTCCATCGAACACGATTGGAACGATCGGTCCAAACAAACTCGGAATTCAAGTTGAAATGAAAAATAATGATAACAAAACTAAATAAAAAATATATTATATATTCAATTCTAATCATACCTGCACATATGCTGCAAGCTCTGCACCCTCTTGAATCTTGATACGGGATAAAGCAGTTGGACCCGCACGGGACCAAGGACTGGCCTCAAGTTCAAGAAGAATAAGTAGCGGCCGCTACGAGACGTTTCGACAGCGTTCTCAATGAATTCCACTATAGTCTGCGCCTTGAACATCGTACAACCTCCGAAACAGAAGTTACCTGTGTTTGAAAACAATATAATATGAAATATACAATAATCACTGTCATTACCTAAACATTAACATGACGTGGTTCCGAAAATAAATATTTCATGATACTTTGAATTTGTAATACAATTGTAATTTAAACGAATTATAAATTAATATTAAATGCGAAAACGGATACGTTATAATTATTGCAATTATTAAAAGCACTGTAATAAGCATGACAAATAATCCCCAGACAGATTTAAAACATAAATTAAATGCAGGTTCGCTCAATTTTTAATATCGTTAAAATCACTTTGTTTTTTATTAAGCACCAAGCTTTCCATTTATTTGCTTTAATGAAAAATTGCGATTTACTCAGTTTTACAATATTATCCAATTTATTTGGTTACGTGAGAAGGGAAAAGCATACGAGTATGGGAATTAAAATAAAATGTACAACTACAAATTTATATATAAAAAAAATGTATATTCTTTTAGATAAATTCAATAACATTACTGAAAATAATTAATATTATAGATGGTGTGAGCTAAGACCCCATTAATTATTAATAGGAGCTTCGATGTCTGTTTCAAAACTATTATCTTATAACGTATTAAACTATAGTAATAAATTTGTTAGATGCTTTAGAACTAAACAGTACTAAAATGAAGTTTATAAATAAAGATGCGATGGTTGAGGTCTCGGGAAAATGTTAGTCGAAGCAACAGTTTAAAAACACGATTAACATCAAAGAAGGTAAGACATCAACTTACACTGGTCTTGAATCTTTTTCTTTTGTCCCATGTCTGTGGTATTTTAGGTCATACAAACTTAGTGCCCATAGTAAATTTTATGTTATCTCAATATATAAAACAACACATATATGTACATATGATACAATTTTATTACAAAATAGACTGCGGCTACAAGTATCAGAGTTAGAGCTCCCGTTTTATCAGGTACTAACAATACCCAGTACCTAATACTCGACAAATCCGATTTGCAAATGGCGCAACCAGAAATACACAATACTCCTTTCTTTAATATTCTCTTTATTCCAACAACAAAATGTATTTAAAGGGTGTATGTAATAATATTGTTTTTTTTTTCGTATTTTACGTAACGTATAGTTTTATGCGAAAATTCTTATACTGCTCTACGTTTTTCAATAATGATTAAAAAAATACCAGTTAAATTTTACACTTGACTTGGTTTATTTGAATTTTTTACAAAGAATTTTTTTTTACATCGAAATAAAAAAATGAGAGGAAATTAATCCCCCGGTACGTTATCGATGCACATTTTACGGAACATTTTGATAGCGGACACGCGTTATTACATAGAAGAATGTGCTTGAAAACACTGGTTAATAATCCCGTGCTGGGTTGACATAAGGGTCATTGGTCATCAAAGACATCGAGACCGTACCTACAGGTTAAACAGAAAAACCGACCAATTTCCAATCCAATTTTCAATTGTACTTCGTGGTTCGATTAATTGTTATCTAGAAATGAAATCGTTATTTATAATTTTTTTGTTTCCTGGCAATGAAATAACCTGAATGCTTTACAGCAATTTCTTAATGTTTCATAATAAAACATAATATCCATTTTTACAAACATTCAGGATATTAGAGCAATTGAGAAAGAGCTTTATGGAGTCGAGGCAGTTTTTTGGTGAAATATTAAAGATGCTCTATAGAGGAAATAATATCAGATGAACATTATTAAGCTGCATTATAAGCGGGGGCGTCTAGGTATTCTGATTTTTTTTGCGTGCTCTGCTATAAGTTCAGCATAAACGCTTAAAAGGAATTTTCGCGATAGAGGTTACAATTACACCGGGACCCTTTCCCTTTGTAGTATAATGTTAGCATACATGTCTTTAACCAACGCACCGCATTATGTAAAAACATGTTCTATTAAATGTATTCAGCAAAGACTTTCTTATAAACTCCAGCTACAAGTTTAGCTTACATTAACATTTCATTCTAACAAATCCATTCGATTCATATTATTACCCCGACAATATATGTATTGTGAGTATATATATATTTCAAAATTATTGAAGTGAATATTCTAAAATGTCGACTACTTCAACGGATGCTGTATCTATTCACATCAACTTATACACAACACCTCTCCCAACGGGCTCATTTCCAACGTATTTCTACTTGAATGACATAAATGCATATCAATCTGATGTAGTTCACGTGATAGATTCAGCATCAACGGATCTAAATAGTCGATATGTTTGGATCTGAATACATTTCGAGTTAGACACATTGTATGGAGGTGTAATTCCTCTATCGTGTCGAGATTTCCAACCGTGAGAGCTAGTCAATTTTGACATTATTCGTGCTCAGTAGGGTTAACTAAATCTGAGTGTGTGATAGAATGTTCTACGATACCATTTCAAAAGTAATACAAGTATAAAGTTTAAGTAGTAGCGAAGTACATTAATCTTTAAAAACTTTACAATAATAATTAATATTTTATTAAGTTTATATTTTTGGTAGTATATTGGACGATAACGCAAAGACACTTGTACGTGAAGAGGAAATGCACAAACATTTAAATTGTTTTATTTAAAGTACCATATTTCCATGCTTATTCATCCGGTATCACAAAACGTGCAATTGACATATGTATGTGGGTTTTAATACATCGACATTTTCCAATATATTAATGTACTCATAATATGAAATTCATTTCAATATTTCAAGGGAATATTTATTAATATTACATTTATTGGGGACTTTTCAGTTTCGCCTTTTACTTTTTGTGTTCATTGAGTTAAGCGTGTTACAACAGAAAGAGATATTGTTTGATTTTTTTGTGACACCTTTTGTTTGATCCTTTTTATTTTTATTTTCTTCATTATTATATTTTAAGTAGTGATTTTTTATCTTTACTCCTGCTGCAGTGAAGATTATCTTTTAAAAAGTTTATATAATCTCAATATTTACTAAAAAAAAGACGTGTATAAAATCTAAGAGGAATAATATACTTACCCAAAAAGTAGTAATTATACTTGCATTAAATATTATAATATTTAAAACTATATGTCACAAAGTTTGCCAAAATGTGTATTAAGCGGAATTAAAACTGACGGCTTACGAAATGAATATCTAACTTAAAGTTCTTCCAACTTGAAACTACTTATCAAGCGTGACAAATATGTTAAGAAAGTTAAAACTATTAATACGTATAGGTATATTTTTTATTCTATGCCATGTTAAAAGAAGATAAGCTGGGATTATATAAAAAAATCTCGAGAATAACGTATTTAAATCACTTTATTGATATATTATTAGCTGATAGATATAAAATTCACTTCCACTAATGGTTGCTTTATAGACAACAGCTTCACTGACTATGGACAATAAATCTCACGGTGCCCGACCTAAGTCTGCAACTATAAGAGTATTAAAAAGGGTAATACTCTGTACGTCTTAAGCTCTTGACGCATAAAATTCTATTGTGAGTACTAAAAAGAATTGTTTACAATAAAACATACGTAATATTAACTTAGAAATCAAATACATTATTAATTTATCTTTCGGTGATAAATAGTAGCCAAATATAAACTAATAAGTACCTACACATTGAAAAGAAAAAGGCAAAAAAATATATTGCATTACCACATACGAAACAAAAAGGCCATTACGTGATTTATCTAATAGAAATAATAGTTTCATATTTTCCGTCATTGTTTGAGTTTCATTCTATAAGGAAAGCACTTATATTTACGAGCACAACAACAGTTCAATAAAAATGATTTAAAAGATTGAATCTAAAAGAAATGCTCGATGTTAAATAATAAAATTTGTCTGAACCTTTACAAACAGGTAGGTGATTGTGATTAAAATCTTTTCATATCCTATTTATCTGTAGTGCCACTAGTTTTGGCCTTTGCTATTATCACCGAGCCAACGGATCGGGTCATGGAGTATCTGAACGGCTGATCGGCTCAGCGGTTCAATAAAGCAGGTCCCATACTAGATCTCAAAGCACCTTAAACCGATTATACTGAGTTCGATGAGTTAAACACGCGGCTTAGTAACCGTGTTACGAACTCTTTAACATGATTACAAATACACATGTAGATATTCAATTAAACAAACATTCATTTCTATTATTCTATCGTCATTGACAAAATTATAGTTCTAAGTAAACACTACGCCCGCAAAACGAAACCCAAATACTTGTTTTCGTATCAACGCAAAAGTTTTACAACATCTAATGGACAGACTGTTTTGTTCGCTTTCCATTGTATTTGGTATATCCTTACAATTATGACGAAAATTTTGAAATAGCGCAACCGAAACATTCCGAACTACTAAAACTTTTATGGCTATTAAATAATAAATATTTTATTAAACTTCAATGAACAATTTACGTCAAAATAATATTTTTAATTTCATATAAAGTTACGTATGTAAAACATGAAATACACAAAAAATAGAATCTAATTGACAAAGATTAGGTATGCGAGGTTTAATGAAGAAGATAATATTGAGAAATGTTATTATAGTATCTCAAAAGTAAATTGAATAAATGGTAGAATATTAGAAAGAATTAATTCATAAGAATAAAAAATATGAAACGTAAATGATTTTATAAAATAATGTTATAATAGAGCCATTAAATAACTAAAAGTACGTAAAATAATATTTCAAACTTTCTGGAACCTAATAACATTGCTACAATAGTGCAATTTTTATATTCAAAATTTAATATCTTGTGTCCAGGACAAAGACAAGTAGAGTCTCTTTGAACACAACAGTATTACAAGTTCACTTTACAAAGAAGCAGACGAAAAGCCATATTCGATTCTTTTATAAAAATATACAGACCTTTATTTAACAATTACAATTTTAAAAAAAGGATATTTATTTTTTAAGTAAAGTAATAAATTGTTATAATAAAATACATCTCATAATTTCAATAACTCGATTCCATACATTTTTTTGATTCTTTATATATGAACTCAATCATTTTCGTATCGCAAAAGCTATGTAATAAACAGATGTCTGAACTGCATCAGTGAACTTTTGATATCACCTTACCCGCATCCTATCACATATGAAAACGAATGAAACACAAACAACATCCAATTATAATAATTATTATATGTATCATACAGTTTCCAGTTGTAATGAATGGCAATCGAGTCGGCTGGCACGCATCCGAACCCAAAGTTATTTAATTAGGAGCTCTAACGTTTTCTGTATATTACAGGTTTTGTTTATTAAATGATAAAAGCATTACGTTATGTCACTGCCAGCTACGTTTTAAGGGGTAAGCGTTGTCACATCATGAACGTTGTATTGCCGTATGAACCTTTGACAACGGACTATCCTTTTATTTCATGCTGTGTCTGCTAATATTGATACATACGTACAACATACGTAAGTTTTAACGAAAAAATAAAAGATACTCAACGGATTTTTCCCTATATATTTACATAGGAATATTCATCGTTAATCAATGTTCGTTAATTGGAATTCCACTATGACATTCTCACAATAGTTCTTCAAATTAAAACCCACTTAGATGTAGCAGCGAAAAATTTAATTAAATTTTTAAGGCGATACTGCTTTTGTTAATTCCGTGAGAACTAATCCGATGGATATCCCATTTCAATAGAAATTGCTAGATCTGTAAACGAATCTCAACACTCTCTGATCCTTAGCAGGCGAATGTTATCTTGATTTTATTTACTTCATATTATATTCAAGATTTTAATTTTATCGAATATTAAAAATTAAAAAAAAAAATACCATTCCGCAAAATGGGATTGACGATATGATTTGTATCGATAACGATTATATTATTTTCATCATTAACTAAATGAATGTAAAATAATCAAGTTGATTAATCAAAGAACGTTATAATATGTATATACCATAATAAATTAACATTCCAGACGAACTTTTCCTTAATCATGATAAAAATTTCACTAACTATGCCAGACGCAGAAAATTCTATTAATAAAGCTTATAAAATATTTTTATTAGCCACAATTGTATGCAACTATGTGCTTTCAGAGAGTGTTCTGCTTGCAGAAGGGTCGACAAAACTTGGACCGGGAGACTGATTAAATTACGTTCGTGTTGACCGCATGTTAAAAGCAAAATATACAAGATTAAATTATGTTGAACATTTCTATTGAGTTCTACTGTGAATAGACAATACAGATATCATGTTTGGAAAGTTGGATTATATATTAAATGTTTTTCAAAACAGTCGCATTACTTTTGCGGTTCGGTGGATCAGGATTTTATTTATAAAAAACAATTTTACAACAGGTATTTAGTTCGTTAAGTCTTGTCCTTCCGGCGGAAATTTAATAGAAACGCAACGATGATTCAGTTAGTTAAGCGAGGATGCAGAGAAAAAATATATAACATAAAATAAATAAGGAAAATTCTATTCTCATTTAAAAATTATATATAAAATAAAATTCCGTGCACTTTATCTCCCTGCAAATATTAAACTTTTTCAACTTTCCTCATCCTTCGGAACGAAAAAGATTAAAAAATTTATGACAGACAAAAATCTAAACAAAGTTTTCAACCGTTTAAATGGCTTAATTAAATGTACATTCACAAAAATATTATATGTATTTCAAATAAGAAACTTTAATCACCTTTTATTTATATTTTCAGTTTAGAGAGTATTTGAATAAGCTTAGTTAGATTTATTTGAGTATTTAAGCTGCACAAATATTATGGAGACAAATATAACGTTTATTTCGTGGAACTGAACGCTATAGTTACAAAGGTTAAACATAGTCATCATACACCTCATCTTAGAACCTTTGTTAAATAATAAATATAAAGCACCAATTTTAATACTTATATTTTTAAGCATCTTCAACCAGGTCATTATATATTTGAGTAAGAGATTTTTATCTCTTCATCTATAAAATGTTTCGCTCTCATTATGGTCTTTTGCAAAATATTTAAATGTACACGCGTTTAAACCTTTGATATTTTATTTTGTTTCGTAGAGACTTTTATCGAATCGTTTATTTTATAATTCTTTTTTATAATACCTCAATACCGGATTTCACTTAACGCGTCTTCACTTTCAAACGTACTGATTATAATTTCAGACTAAATTGCTAATCAAGAGTTTGCATACTTATGGCAAATAGATGAATATTTTTTTATAGTTGCTAAATATGAAGTAAATCGAGTAGTAAAAAAAAAAAGACAACCAGTCATGATAACGTTATTTTCTCCTATTAAAGTATTTACCTGTTTGCCTTAAGATTGAAAATAAATAAAGTTTATTACAATTTCCATCGGAAGATCCAATTTCCGAAGAAAAAGTCAACAACATTAAAAAACGGTCGGCATAGCAGTTATGAATTAGCAACAAATTATTATGTATAATAAATACGAAAAATATTTAGACATGATGTACAATGAAAAACGAAAACCAGCGAAAGCAGGAAACAAAACACAAAACAGCGTAAACGTATACAAAGTCGCGGGATGACAGCCAGTTTATGTAATCAGTAAGCTAATTAAGAGAAAAATATTCAGAACGCAAGCGGTATAGTTATGGGAACACAAAAAAGAAACAATAAAATCAATTAAAGAGTAATTGTACGAACTCACCCTGATCGTGTTCTATTCTGACGTGCCTCATGCCGTTCAGCTTGAAGGTGAGCGTGAAGATGTAATGATCGTCGCTGCTGTCCCGAACAATGAAGGACCCGTCCGGCTCATTGGAAAGTATCTTCTCAGCAGCCTCCACGGATATAGGACCCCAGTACCAGCCGTACTGAGAACGACAGAAAGCTTTCAGATAACCCCAAACACTAATAACAGCTGGCAATAAACCAGCCGACTTGAATGATTTGCAATTCATTAAAACGGTTCATCAAAAATAAAGTGACTCTCAATTTTTACAACTTTATCGATGACGTCCGTAGCTTCTTTTTTTTTATTTCTATCTGAATACCAAAGTGCATCGGGTTGCTATGAAGAATAAATCGATCCAAGCTCTTTATTAAGGGATTTAAAAAATAATGAAGTGTCCGTTATGCTTCCATGCCGTAGTTGTAATTAAAAGTATACCGATATTACACTCCCACCATAATTGCCTTTCATTGTCCGCTAGAGGTGTTAGCTTGACTTGTCTAGTAATGGTTGTATCGATAGCATAATGTGTATAGAAATAAATATTTATATATATACAAAAAACCCATAACACCTTCAGGGTATTAAACAAAAATTAAGTATGTTTGTATAATAATAAAAAAAGAATGCATAATGCATATCAATAGTTCCAGGTTTATTGGCCAAGTTCCAGCGTAATGAGCATTGTAAAAATAAAGGAAAGAAAACTCTACGGCACACGTCTAAGCGAACCCGACAAATTAGATGAAAGAGGGAATGCTATTTTTTGACAAACTTTTATAAGGGTAAACAGTGAAAAAGTAAAAAAAAGTACTCACATCTTTGACTCTTTGTATGGAGGTGGCGAAGTCGAGGATAGTGTCTTCATCGTGTCGGCGTGGGTTGGTGTTGGATGCATGAGGTGACTGCGGCAGGGGCGGCAAGGCACGGCGCACGGCCGGCGGCGGGGACTCCCTGCCTCGCTCCACGGACTCACCCTCGCTCTCACTGGAGCGCCGCCATCGGAACAAGTTACAGAAGCTCTGCTTCAGGTTCATGGACAACATTTTCACCGACGACTTCTTCCCCTGAGTCTTCTTCGTCTTCTCCTTATCATCGGTCACTTCTTTCACGGCCTCTTTGTGTTTCTTGTTCTTAACGTTCATAGCTACCGTGTTCTTATTAGTTTTCTTGTGATTGTTGTTCGTTTCCACCCGTGCGTGTATTTCGTTGTTTTCCTTTACGAAGGCGGGAGTGTTTGTCTCTTTGCTGGTGTGTTGCCTCATGTTCGTTATTATAGTGCTGCCTTTCTTAGTGATGGTGCCGCGGCAGTCTGAATCGCTGGAACTGGAGTATAGAGTGTGCAGATACTTCCTCATCTCTCTTAACGTGAGATGCAGCGAGTCCGTGTCTGAGTCGGTGACATTCTTCTTGCAGGACGAACTCGGCAAACTGTGTCTCTTGGATCTAGTGTCTTTATGTCTCGTCTCCTTAGACTTATATCTTGTTTCGGGAACGTTGCTTGTTCCTATGCTCTGAGAACTTCTTCCACGTCTTCTATTATTTCTCGCCTTCTTGCTTTTCCCCCTCACATTACTGTGACTAGGTCGGACCATGTCAATGGGCACAGCGTATATGTCGCTGTCGAAGGGTACATTGTACATGTCAGTGATATCTGAGGTTTTGGCGGAGAGAGTATCATGTGATATAGCTTGAGTAATAAAGCTGGAGTCATCCGCTTGGAACTGAGTAATTAAAGAGTTGTGACTGCTAGAGAGTCGAGAGGATAGGGAGTTTCTAGAAGACGGCCTGTTCATACGACACGGGCTGAGATGTAGGAGTCTCGGACTTGCAAACCTGTGGTTAAGACATTGACGCCGCTCATATAGTGACTCGGGTTTCAATTTTCTCGGATACAATGGCGATACATTCCTAGAAGTCATTGCAATTTCTAAGCTCGATGATTTTGTTTTACTAACATCGTTCCTAAAAACGACGGATGGAGGCACTCGCACAGCCATACATTTACTTGGTGACCCGCCCGAGGCGGACCCACAATCTTCACTAATTTGTATTGGATCATCCTGCAACAAAATTCAATAGATTATACCAGTAAAATTTATATTTACATGAACCACTCCGTTCACTAAACTTGCGATACTAATTAACGATATTAAGCAAGTTCTTCTAATTAATTTAAGCCCCTGAAGTTAGTTAGTAGCCGAGTTTGCCGTATCGGTAACAAATAAGTGAGACTTGATGTAGTTTCAATATATTCGAAGCCATCTATATAATTAACATCCTCCTTGTCTTCAAGTTCACTAAGCTGTTCATTCGTTTTTAATTATTACGAATATATACGCAAAATTGGATGCACAAAAACTTATAAAATAATAAATATAAAAAAAAACTTTTAAATTTTAAACTAAAGAAAGTCGACCATTCTTTTATTTAATAACTGTAAATTTAAAAGACCTCTAAATTTATTGAAAACAAAAAAAAAATAATCATGAACAAAAAACTTAAAAAATTTGCAATAAACCATAATAAATAATTAAATTGAAACACTAAACAATATAAATTTAAAAAAGTAAACATTTAATTTATAAAAATTTAACGAACTTTTAGACTAAAAAATTTCAAATATGGATTACGAAAAATTCTAAACTTGAAAAAAATTTAAATTAAATTTAAATAAATATATTTGAACAAACCTGAAATTCAGGTGGTGGTTCTATTGCAGTCACGATGACTTTCCCAGGACCCTTTTTCACGGTGTTGAAAAAGTCACCGCACATGCGTTCCGAAGCCTCCGTCTCGCACATTGATAGCGACCGCTCGTCGAAGTCGCTCTCTTGCAACTGAATGACGAAAGCTTCCGATATATTTACAGCCATTTTAATAATCTCCGCTATGGTATACCCGCCTCATAGATATAAAGACGACATTATATACAGTCACATAATATGATACTAAACATTTAATAGCCTTATATAATGTATGAATTATATTAAATTTTGTCGATTGATTAATTCATTTAAATAATGTATGATTATGAATTAGGGGAAGTGAATGTGAAATGCGTTAAATCTATATCTGGGAAGATTTATTTTTTTTTATTATAATTAAAATTTCGTTGAAATATTTTTATGGCATGAACGCTAATTTTCATTCATATATTTAGAACCACGCAAGCAAAGCATATTGAAGATGCGGCGCGCCAAGTTCAACACTGACTTAATTAACTTTCGCATATTAATAATAGTGTATTAGAATCATTAATTGATATAAAACGTATGTATAGTAACAAATTAAAAGATTTCATAACATATAATAACGTATATTAGTTTAGTCCGTTACTTGAATAATTTTAAAGTTAAACCAGGCCCGCTTTATCAGCAATTAGCGGGGCTAATATTAATACACTTAAAAAGATTTAATAAACTCGAGCGGAGTAGACCTCTCACAAAGAGATTTAAGAACACATTTTTAAATATCGAACACAATATTCCTTTGACACAATAGGGTTTTACCGCGCGCAGGAAAAAAAACATTCGCAAAGTAAAGCAATTTATATTCGTCACTTAATATTGATATATTAAAGTTACGAAGAGAGCAATTGTCTGATATTTGTAACTGCATATCGGTGGAGATATTATTGTATGTTTAACGGACGCCTCGTATCGTGTCATTTTGAGATATTTCGTAATTCGATTTCTGTTTGCATTTAAACAGTAAGTATATCGATAATAAATAGTAAGTTTACTTTAAAAATTACTCTTGTCCATTTTAATGTATACTTAGTAGCAAATTGTTTTCGCTTAAATCTTACGTTCGCATTAAATTCGTATATGGTATATGAATTGTAATTGTGTGCAGCTGTTCATATTAATATTTTCTTATGGTCAAAAATAATATTTAACTATGGAAAAGTGACGATCATATATGAACCTATGCATTTTAATGGTATTATAGATAATTGTACACTAGAAAAAATAAATAAAAATAAACAAAAAATATTCGCCAACAGCATAAAAAGAACTTAAAAATAAAGAAAACAAAATGATTTAAATTATAATGAAGTATTACAAAAAAAATATTTCAACAAAATTTTTCTTTGATTCCATATGAAAAAAAAATAAGGGATAGGTGTCTTGAGCATTTCATATAGTAAAATTAAGACAATTCAACTTGAATGCAGGCAACAGTCACAAAATAAGATTTTATACATATGATTAGTCATGTATTATTTTTTAAACATAATGTTAGAATGTAATATATATTTAAATTATTGGTATTAAGGGATATTAGCGGGTTAATGGGTAATTGTATATGAATGTATTAATTGGGTTAGTTACTTATTGAATAATAATATAGACTATATGATTCCTGAAATTATTTTTTAATGTTAATTTATATTCAAGTTAGATCAAATAAAAATAAAAAAATAAAAATAAAAATTACCTTAATATTTTGATGTCTAAAAGACTCAGCTACAATTACTGAAAATTAAATTAATTTTTTTTCATTACCATCAAAAATAATTTAGTTTTCAGATATAATGTACGTCACTTAAGAATTATATAAAGAAATTAATAGAAAAATATTTAAAAAAAAACTTTAAAACTTTTGTTGAAGTTTGTTATTAAAACTTAATTACCCTATTTGTCAAATATTACTATACTATACAGTTCTGAAGTCCTAAATAGTGTCTTCATCAATACACACTTCTCAAACCTCGGGAGAGTATGTACATGCGTAATGTATATTTACGTAAACTGCAGAGAATTTAAGGTTACCCATATTACAGTTTCTAACCTAACTACTGTAAACATTGTGCCAAAACTTTTTAGAAACTTTATTTACCATTCTCGTTTTGTTCCTACCATAACTAATGTTGAATACATTAAGATATAAGATACCCAATCGTCTAGATATTCAAATTATGCGAAAAAATAAGTAAGTAAACAATGCACATGTACTTTGGAAATAATTTTATAAACTTTGTTATGACGCATTACTGATTAATCTTACCTCGGATGCAATATGATGCCATCCACTCGCGGAATCACTAGAAAATGAGCCACTTGTAATAAACAGACCACTGTCTTCGCTCAACGGAGGCACTTCGGAGTGCGTGGAGAAAGAAGGAGGCGACTCCATCGCTCCAGATTTTTTCAACTTGTATAAAAGTTTAACAAGGTCATAAAATGAATCTTAAATATCACAAATTCCATAAAAAATTACGAAAACTATAATTTCAACTATTTTAACATTCAACACTAAAAGGCAGACTTAATGACTAAAGAAAGTCATATGTACTCTATCTCGCTCACACATCGTCGCCGTCTCCATGGTATTTCTATTTTTTTTGACGTACAGAGTCTATATTTTTAGGGGAAAATTTTCGTTTATTCAGTTTCAATGTCTGTAACTTTAAAAGATGTTTTATTAACTTGAGAAAAACAATATTTAAATGAAATTTTAAATATTTTACTTTAATATAACACATTAATCTATGTAATACATGTATAAATAATTGGTACAATTTTAATAATCCTGGGTAAACACTAGAACGCTAAACAGTAATATAATGAAATATAATCTGTGCTCTACCTTTTACTATACTGTCTTGTAATGTTAATTTCGGTTTGTTATTTATTGTGTGATTTTCTAAAATAAAATGTTGTGTGTATTAAAACAAAAGTGCTTTTAATAACTTCTGGAATTTATCAGTTATTAATTGATTATGCTTATATTTTTCAAAAAAGTAAAAAACCTGTTTTAAAATGACGGATTCTCAAGTAGCAAACATTGTAAACGAAATTTTGGTAAGTTTTAACATCATGGTGTTTTTAACTTTCAGGATATCAATAATGTAAATATTTTTGATACCATTGTTTTAGCGGGTAGAGGCTGTAGAGGAGGCATTCAGTTGTTTTCTGGTTTACAAACCAGAACAGGAAAGTGAGAGGTTATCCTTATACCAGAAAAAGCTATGTTCCATCATGAGCAGTCCCAGCGCGGAGGTGCAAGAATCAGCTATCCGTCAATATCTTACTTTGACTGCAGTCCTCACAAACAGATATAAAATGAAACAGCTGCTGGGTTTACTTGAGAATTTAGTTAACACTAACATACTTCAAGCAAGGTAACATCTTTAATATACAAATAAAATGTAAAAAACAGCTCTAATATAAATTGTTACAAATAAAATATGCAAAAGTATTATCAACATAATTTATAAAATTTTTCAGAATGCTCTGCGATTGTATATTAACAAGCGAGAAACTGGTTTACAAAAATAGTGATTATTGGATTGAATGCTTCAATCTAGTTAGACGAGTTATTGGTGGTGTTGACTACAAGGGTGTTAGAGAAATTATGAAAGTAGGTTAAAATTGCAATAGCAAAAACTTTTTTAAGTACCATCACAAAAAATATTTTTGATGACCAAAAACATCATAATATGTTAAAATAATACATTTATAATTCCTGATTGTGACTTCTATATTGTTATTTTAAAATAAATCTGCTTTTTAACAGGGTTGCAGAGAAAAAGCACAAACTTTACCAGTAAGACTCAACTCCAGCACAATGCCCCAAATGAGAGCATTGTGTAATGTCATTGAGTACATTTTTGATCGTAATGCATCACTCTTGCCCGCATATTTCATAGTAACTGAAATTCAAAAGGACTATCCAGATAATAATCATTGGCCACACTGGGTATGTTTGTTAAAATGATTTACAAATTTTCTTTTTAAATTTTGGTTTTATTCAAAATGTTCAAGGTGCAACATAATAATTCTCAGTCTAATTATATAAGATTATCCTTAGTTAAGTAATTACGACACTGCCTTTTTTACAGCAGCTGGCTAAACTACTTACCACATTTGTTGAAAGTTTCAAGCCTTGTGCTCAAATGGTGTCAATTATTGGTCATTCACAAATGTTGCCTGTGGTAGAATTTTCCGGATATGCCGATCATTTGGTAAACCCGTGGCGGTTAGATCCGACAACACTTAAATTCTCTCTCAAAGGCAATTTGCCTTATGATGATGAATTACTTAAGCCTCAAATATCATTACTAAGGCATGTACTACAGCAGCCCTACTCTAGAGATATGATGTGTTCTATGCTAGGATTGCAAAAACAACACAAACAAAGATGTATAGCATTAGAAGACCAACTTGTGGAACTAATGATTTTACCCATGGAAAGGAGTGAACAAGAGAATGAGGATGATGAAATGCCATCGACACACTGGTGCTGGTTGCATTTATCCTCGCAAGTGATATATTTAATCCTCATTGGATTCGCCTCATTCCCTAGCATAGTAATGGGTCTACATAATAAACTTGTAGGGTGTGATCTGAAGAAGGGACGGGATCATCTTATGTGGGTTCTTTTACAATTTATATCTGGAAGCATACAAAGGAATCCACTGTCTAACTTTTTACCCATAATTAAATTGCATGAACTGCTATATCCAGAGAAGGAAGCATTGCCAATGCCTGATTATACAAAAGCTCATTGCACTCATCAGATGGCTGTTGTCTGTATTTGGATGCATTTGTTAAAAAAAGCTGAATCTGAACACAAAACCATGATAATGCCACAAAACTTGAAGGTACAATATGAGTAAGTGTACTGAATAATCTGTTTTCACACATCAATTTGATTGATTTATCTACAGCTCTAGTATATTTTGTTAGTGAAAACTTTTAAAAATATTAATAAAATTATCATTTACTTATTCTAGATTTCTTCAACACCTAATGACATCAAACAACACACCAACATTAATGGGTGCGGACTATCGTATTGCTTTGCTATGTAATGCATATTCAACTAACCAAGAGTATTATGCTCGACCTATGGGGATCATTATAGAAACACTATTTGGCAATCAAAAGCCAATGCCAAATGGAAACCCTGCAGCCCCTCTACCAACTGTACCCTTATCAATGTGTATTTTGGATAGTCTTACATTACATTGCAAAATGTCATTAATACATTCCATAGTGACACATGTAGCTAAGCTGGCTCAAAATAAAACCACAATACCTGGAAGTAATATGATGGCACCAGCATTAGTTGAGACATACAGTCGTCTCCTTGTTTACACTGAAATTGAGTCACTTGGAATTAAAGGATTCATTAGTGAGTAGTACGGTTATGTTTTATATTTCTATCTAAAACCAAAGATATATGTTTTAAATGTATATTTTTCTTAACAATCATTTGTCTTTCAGATCAACTTCTGCCAAATGTATTCAAATCCCACGCGTGGGGTATACTTCACAACTTGCTGGACATGTTCTCCTATAGAATACATCACATTCAACCTCACTATAGAGTTACCTTACTGTCTAATATCAATTCACTCGCAGCTTACCCTCAGGCTAACCAGACTCAGTTACAATTATGGTATGATATTAATTTTATAAATGTTTTTCCATTTCCTTTATCATAATAATCGTTTGCAAAAAAAGTATCTGATGATTGCTTAAATAATGTATATTAAACATTTAATAAAAATACTTACTATTAATTTAAATAAAAATTCCATCAATCGAATATTTGCATGCCAAATTTAGGTGCACTGCAAGTTTCCTCTAAATTATGTGACTATCAATATTCCAGAAGCCTGGTTTGTTAAATGCATACCACTTATGAATTACACGTAAATTTCTTTGCTAAATATATTATCTTTTGCAGTTTCGAGAGTACAGCCCTCCGTTTAATTACTAGTCTGGGCAGTTCGGGTGTTCAGCTGCAGATGTCGCGTGTGGTCTCCGAGCCCAAGTCCTGTGTAGTTGTCAGCAGCGAGAGTGAGGAACTAAACAGAGTTCTGGTCCTCACTCTCGCCAGAGGAATATATATGACAGGAACTGGTGAGTTCTCCACGAGCTTATTTCGAGATATGGACCTGTAGTAGGGCTTCTGTTACTCGGCTCTTACTATATTGCTATAATAAATTCGACAGGCGCATTCGACTTTATATGACTTATAATTTATGTTGTAATTTTCTTTTAATCCTAGGTAATGATGGAGCAGCAGTGAAGGAGATATTGACGACCATAATGACGAACACCCCCCACATGTGGTCTCAACACACGCTGCAATGCTTCCCTCCAGTACTTGTCGAATTCTTCTCACAGGTAATTAATTTAAATAGATTTACTTATGACGTAATTTTAACTTCTTAATGCGGTTCTTTTAATTATATGAGTGGTCTAGATTTCCTAGTGTTAAGACTTCGATAAATAAGCGTTCATAATATTTTGAAGAAATATAGAAACGCCAGTGTTGAAGACTCAGATGATGTCAAATGCGAAGTAAAATATGTTTGATATTATTTGTGTAGCTTGCATCGACAACGTAGAAACTGGTTGTTAACAGTTTTTTCGCTTAAACATTTTTGTGACATGTTTGTCGTCAAAGTTTAGATGCTTTACGCTCGAAAATAGCGTTTATAAAGTATACAAAACAATTGTGAATGGCTGTCGAAAAAGCTAAAGGACATGTAAACAATTGCATTGACATTTACATCAGTTGTATTAATATACCAATATTGGTACTTGTAATGTTACTTAGTGTAAATATACATACATATTTATCAATCAGTCATCTATCTTCTATCTTCTATCTTCTTCTTCTATATATATAAAAATGGATTGCTGTTCCTTAGTCTCGCTAAAACTCGAGAACAGCTGAACGGATTTATCTTATCTTAGTCTTGAAATTTTCGTGAAGGTTCAGGGAAGGTATAAAAGCTGAAAAAAATTGATTCATTACTGGGAAAACCATAAAAACAGCCCTTTTATATTTCCCATACAAACGTTTTTTTTGACAGTAGATTTGACAACTAACTAATATGTCAATCATTCTGTCGCACTTCAAAACACGGAGATTTATGGCTTACAGGTAAACTTCAAAAATATAAATAAAAAAACGTAATAGATATTTCTTAATTATAAGGCGATACGAAGTTCGCCAGGTCAGCTAGTCTAAAATAAATCTATGTGTTATGGTGACCATAGTTGGAAACAAGGGAAATTACAGTTTTACTATTAAAATGTTAAACAAATTAATTCATAGTTTTGGATTTTCAATCAAAAATGGAATTTTGTGTGCCATCAATAAATATAGAAATATCGTCATAACTAACAAAGGCGGGTTAAACAAACACGTCGTTTGGAGGAAGCTAACTAATTCACATCGAATTTCCTTACATGCTATGCGAAATTTACATACGAGCCAAACATGCACGCCAGTGTTCATGGAGTGCTTTGTTGGAACTGACAATAGCACTTGATTGACGTTGGACGTTGGTCTCACACAAATTCGCACAATATTCAAATATCCATCCACTGAACCGAATGTAGGTAATACAATCTCTTAGTTTATTATGGCACAAAATATGTTTACCGTGTCCCAATATGTATGCCTTTGCGAAAAGGAACATTTAAGATTTTGAATATATGTTTTGATATAAAACAGCAAAATACGAGTATCGTCAAGTTTCAAGATAAATCTGATTGTAAAGTATTATTTTAACATCGTGTTAGTCTTTATTGTAAAAATTTATACGACCTTTATCTGAAAGTCGAACATTACTTCAAATGGCGCTTTTCACTAAATTTAAGTCCACAAGTCTTTGAAAATGAACTTATGTTTCAAAAGGTGACTCTTTACAGATGATTAGGTTCTTGCTTTTGCAATAATTTCTTCTTGGACGCGGTTTATTTTTTTTTTTATTATTTAAATTTTTTTATGTGAAACAAACAAACAAAGGTGGCAAACGAACAGACGGCCTACTTGGTGGAAGGTAGTTACCGTCGCCCATGGACTCCCGCAACATCTTTGTTGTGGATGCGTTGCCAACCTTATTTTTTTTTTTGGGATAGGGAGGGGAATGGGAATGAGGAAATGGTAGGAATAGGGAAAGGGCAACCGGCTCTCTCACTCATCGGACGAAACGCAGCCATTAATGGCTACTTTACGCCGATCTTGTGTGAGAAGGTGGTACTTCCCCGGTCGAGCAAGCCCAAGTTCGAGCTGCAGTAACTGACCACAGCTACGCTCTACCACCTTATTATTGAGATTAATTGTAAAGAAATAGATAATTTTCCAAAATTCACGACTGTTTGTGAGAGGAAACATCTTTTATAGTACCTTGATCCGTCAAGATCATAATAGATCACGAATCAATATAGTCAAAGATCCCAGGTCCCCTAGACCTTACTTATTTTCTCATGAACAAAACATTTATAATAGGATAGATTTAGTTTCTACTGTAAAAATAAATATATCTGCTAGCTTATAGCGAGAGCCAATAGTTTTAAATAAAAAAAAGTTAGGACAAATAATCGATATTTACAAATTTTTTTAGTTTCCATCACGACCAAGTTCAACTAAACCATTGGGTATAACTAATTTTAATTTAAATGGCGTGACACTTTTGATTTTATAATTTTATTCCAACATGAAAATTGTGTATCTATACTAATATTATAAAGCTGAAGAGTTTGTTTGTTTGAAAGCGCTAATTTCCGAAACTACTGGTTCGAATTGAATAATTCTTTTTGTGTTGGATAGTCCAGTTATCGAGAAAGGCTGTAGGCTATATAACATCACGCTACCACCAATAGGAGCAAAGATATAGTGGTAAATGTGTAAAAAACGGGAGAAATTATTTCATCTTTGAAGCCTTCCGTTACGTGCGTCGTGAAAACGATTCAAGATACACAAAAAATATGTATGTATTAAAGAATAATAGCTCTTTTACTGATCTAAAAAACAGTCCGCGACAGTATATGTCTATCTTTTAAGATTAACTCACAAAAACCGTTTTTATGGTACCTAATTTGGTCGAAATAATTTGTTTAAGTTGTATCAACATAATAATATTAATCTTTATTCAAATAAACAAATAAATGTGTTGTTGGTTAAGAGTACTTCATTGTGAATTTAAAAAAGAACATAGGTTTTATCCTAAAAATTCTACGGGAACTCGAACATTCCGAAAACCCCGCAAGAACGGGAACTATGTGGGAAGAACCAAAAATCTGCCGGAAGTCACTATTCCACGCGGACGGAGTCGCGGCAAAAGCTAGTAATCTTTATAAAACGGTATTGTTGATAAAACAAAAAAAAAATGATGTCAAATGCGATTTACTCTCTATCTCATAACGTAAATGTGTGCAATAAAATTATTTTTTTAAATATTTTATACTGATATTCTCTTTTCAAAATATTACTTACTTTTTGCGTTTTTTAACGATCTCATATGTCTTTTTATTTTTATTTTATACGTAATAAATTTCATGTAGGTAATTATTATGCTCGTTACGATTCTCAAGTAGGATATCAAATAATTCATAATCAAATTAAAAATATATGTATATATTTAAAAGAAGACAATCATTCAATGTAACTTACAAGTCGGGAATCAGTGATTGAAAAATATACAGGGTGACTGGTGAATTACTATCAATATTTAAGGAGAATACTCGGTACATGATTCTCATTCGAATTATGTAAAAAAATAGGTACTTAATTTTTCACCAAATTTCCGTATAAATAAATAAAATGTGGACACGTTCCAAGTGTTCCAAGTGTGGACGCGTGCGGCGGCGTGCTGATACAACACCACGCCGCCGCACGCGTGTGTGTGTGTATACCTAATCTGTAGGGTGTTCACACGATGCGTAATTAATTAAATAACTTTTGGTTAACTTTCGAAGTAACTTAATCGAAGTAATAAAAGAAATGGAACAAAACCAATTTTATTTTTCAATATATGTATACATATTCAAATCAATATATTTAATATATGAACAGTAAGTAACTCCCTTATAACATCTGTGAATCAACATCTCGAAACCTTTATAAAAATAATCACAATTTTTATCCTCAAACTGACCGAAGACGGCCGCCTGCAACTTCATCGCTTGAAAATTTTCTTTGTCTAAAGTCCCGCTATAAATTTTGAACTAAATAATAGTAAGGCGGATGTTACACTTCTGCGTACTCGCATTAATAATAATTAATTATTCTTCTAAACATCAGCGATATGAATAGAGAAGTTGTCAAAAATAAGACAACTTTCGATAGCTTGCGTCTTCTCTTTTACTTTATCTTGCCTCGTAATTTATAAGTTAAAGACGTATGTATAACATTCGCCATTCACGACTAAAAATTATAAGTTTGAAATCACCAACCCGTCTTGAGCAAGCGTGATGATTAACGCTCAAACCTTCTCCATGACAGAAAGAGGCCTTGTTCAGCAATGGGTTCCGATAGGCTTAAAAAATAATAATTCACGACTGCATAACGTTATTTAAAATCAACTATCAAAATACCTTGACATTCCCAAAATGTTGTGCCTATCAGTATTATACTCGATTTAGCACTTTTGCATTTTTGGGAGGGTGAAAACCCTCATAAAGACATTCCAATGACTCGCGCTGGCTTTGTGGATCATAATACAAGATCATACTTTCATTACCAATCAGAAATCGCTCGAACACAGTCTTTATTTTAGCCACAAAGATCCAAAAACTCCTAATCGCTGCGCTCTCTTTCCTGTCTCTGTATAATTTTTCACTGTGATACAAGAGGAGGCAGATTCTTGATATACGCCATCCAATCGTTCTTTTATTTTGGCAAGGAAAATGTTCAATTTTATAAAAGGATACTTTTGACATTTTGTAAAAATACGTTACTCTCTTTATTCAGGTATACTAAGCATTATGCGTGTTCCTTATATTAAATACAGGATAAACGTACTATTTAATGCAACCCAACATGTAACGACATGTCGCGTAGAACTATATCGGGCCGGTGCATTATTAGACTACGTAATTTTGCACCTATCGAGCTTTTCACTTAGAAATGAAAATTCGCTGTCAATTTTCAATACTCTTTGGTCTTAAAGTTTATTCTCGACCTGAGTTTTGAAGTGCTTTAAGATTTCTATTTATTGTACAGAATCCAGCCCCAAAAGAAAACAAGCAACTTTTAAAAAAATCGGTAGAAGAAGAATATAGGAAGTGGACTTCAATGGCGAACGACAACGATATTATATCACATTTCTCTGTTCCTGGCACACCGCTGTTCCTATGCTTGCTATGGAAAATGATATTTGAAACGAACAGAATAAATCCGATTGCTTTCAAGTAAGTTCCTTTTATTCTATACATTTGTAAGAGTTACGACTCTATATTGCCCTAATTATACGTGTCTATTATTAAACCATTCAGTCATATCAAAATTATAGACATCTATCTATCAAGAAGAAAGTTTTTTTGTATGGTTATTTAAGGTGGTAACACTGATCAATACGCACAGGATCCTCGAACGTATTGGTGCTAGGGCTTTGTCGGCTCACCTACGCAAGTTCTGCGACTATTTAGTATTTGAGGTAACAAATCCAGCCGGGGGTCCTCACATCAACAAGTGTGTGGACGCAATCAACGATATCATATGGAAATACAACATCGTCACCATAGACAGACTTGTTCTCTGCCTTGTGAGTATGTTAAACATTCGTGTTTTTCGATAAATTTAACTTAAAATTCTGTACATAGTATTCGAATGGCTCTAAATCTCTTAAGTCTGACATATAATATCACTTTTGGATTGTTAAAATACTATTCAAGCCGTTCAAGATATGAGAAATATGTTTGGTTAAAATGTTACATTATAATTTTTGACACATTTTTCAGGTACTGCGACCGAATCCGGACGGCAACGAGAGTCAAGTGTGTTTATATATCATTCAATTACTTCTCTTAAAAGGATCGGAACTTAGAAACAGAGCACAGGATTTCGTAAAAGAAAACTCTCCCGAACATTGGAAGCAAAATAATTGGTATGCATATTAATTAATAAATTAAACTGGACATTCTTATGGCAATATCAACAGATATACCATTAAGAATACATTTATTCTTTTATTTTTAGTTTTGGTCGAAATTTCTATACGCATTGATTTCAAGGTCTTGTATCCTGGAAGGCTATAGATAATTAACAATTTTTTAACAATCTCTTGTTTTAAATGTCTCAGTAACATAAGACAAAAGGCAGTCTGAGTTGCAGCTTTATATATATATTTTTAATATTAATAATATCTTGAATCTTTTGCAAAGGCATTCGCTTAGTGGAAACTGCTTCTGATGTTAGGAATAATATAATAATAATAAAATATTTTATTGGTCAAAGTTGCACTACAACACAATAACAATCTTATTCCCAAATAAAAACATACAAAAAAATACAATAAATAAAATTACACAAAAAAAAAAAAAATTCTCCTAAACTATTTACATTATATTATATGTATATTTTCAGGTATGAACGTCACTCAGCCTTCCACCGGAAGTATCCAGAGAAGTTCGCACCGGAAGAAACGAGCGGAGCGTACGGCGGCCCTATACCTGTATACCTCAGCAACGTGTGTCTCAGGTTCATACCTGTGTTGGACATCGTAGTTCATAGACATCTGGAGATACCGCAAGTCAGCAAGAACCTGGAACAATTGCTTGAGCATCTTGGTTATTTGTACAAATTTCACGGTTAGTTTTCTACATTGAACTTCAGAATATTTTTAATTTTTTCTAGATAGTGTAAATTTTATATGACCTCATTTTTGTTAAAACAAAACATTACCCCCAATTCTTGAGTAATTTGTGCATACAATGTTTAATTATAAAGACTCATTAACATTCGCGATAGCAATATGTTTTGAAGTACATACTAATTTATTATATCATTTACACAATATCATCTAACATTTTACATCTCCCATTAATTCTATGCATATGGATCTATCTGGATGGAAGTATTTTAGTATATAATTATTAATAACGATAGATTATTGTCTGAAATAACACAGAAGCTTTTATCTACATACTATTTTCATATCTAATATAACTAATAGGGGTGAGGAGGTTTAGTTTAAAATGTCAATCAGCAAAAATAATTTAATTTATTAATTAATATAAACTCCAGATCGGCCGGTAACCTTTCTATACAACACACTTCACTACTACGAGAGCAAGCTGCGAGATAAGCCATTGCTGAAACGCAAGTTGGTGACAGCTGTATTGGGATCCCTCAAAGAAGTCCGTGCCCCAGGTTGGGCTACAACAGAAGCCTTCCAGACGTTCCTTAGCAGCGAAACTGAAGCTTGGAGTCCAGACCTTAACTACTATCTTAGTCTGATCAACCGTATGGTTGATAGTATCCTTTCAATTACAACACCTGATTTATTTTATCTATTTTTATCCTATACAGTAATTTTGTTTTTGTTCTTTGTACCTGTATTTTAATAATTTGATTCACTCCATGACAAAATAGGCGAGAGTTACGATAATTTTAAATATCTAATGTCATAGTAATGATAAGAAACATCTGTATTATTCCTATTAACACAGTAAAGACCTTAACAGTATACAGCTATGATGGGCAGTTCTCATTTCCCGAACACCGATTGGCGCTTCAACGAATATCCGAATCCTTCAGCACATTGTCTATACGTGACATGCGTTGAGCTGATGTCCCTACCGGTACCCCCGAATACGGTCGGAAACAACCTTCTCGATGTGGTCACAAAAGGATTCGTTGTAATCCCTGCAAATAAAATACAACTCTGGATTAATGCAATAGGGATCATAATGGCAGCGCTTCCCGATCCTTATTGGACCGTAGTCCATGATAGGCTATTAGAACTCGTAACTGGAACGGAGATGGTAGAATGGACGTACCAGCATACGCCATTCCAATTATTTAATTTGACGAAGACTAATGAATGTATGTTAGAGAATAAATACAGTCTGACGTTGGCTTTAGCGCATGCGGTATGGTACCACGCTGGACCAGGACAGATTATGCAAGTTCCAACGTGAGTTTATGTTTATATTATTTTATATAATATCTATTCAGAGAGTGAGCTTTCTTTTGAGATACAATTCATACCAGTACTTTACCTGAGTATATATTTCGTACCTTAGCTTGGTGTATATATTATTGTTTTGCTAATTTACTAAAAGTAATAAGAAATCAGGTCTTTAAAGTGTAAATTTATACTTACAAACCACAGTACCAATGAAGATACAGATTATGACATATTATTTTAACAGCCATCAAAGGTTAAAGTTTCTGTTCTGAGATTATATTTAATAATAAATTTTTAACAAACATTCCAGGTTCGTCAAAGAGAAGATGTCGCCGGAAATTAGGACGGAAGTTCAGCTGATATTCCTGTGTCACCTGATGGGTCCTTACTTACAGCGTTTCAACACTGATCTGTCAAGAGCTGTCATGGATATAACTATAGTGTTGTATGAGTTACTGGCTCATATAGACAAGTCACAGACACACTTGCAGTACATTGATCCTATCTGTGATCTGCTGTATCCTTTTTACAAATTCATTAATATTTAAAATTTAATATATTGTGTCTTTCTAAAAGTTTATACAAAAATAACAAGGGATTTGCAAAAATTAAAAATTTATGTCATGTCTATTTATTAGTTTGATATGTTTAACTTCAATTATGGGTATTATGAATGTTATTTAACAGATAACCATCTTCCTATTACAAACAAAGGTTGAACAACTGGTTTTAACTTTTTGTCTCAATTGTCGTTTATAAAGGAAAAGCTCAATTAAATCTCAGAATTGCTTATACTTTCTTATTCAATATATAGTTTAAATAGTAATTTATTTAAATATTTTTCTGTTCTCCTATACTTCAAGTAATAGTTGTATTAAACCATATAATAAAACAAATATATTCCTTAATTTATAACAGATATCATATAAAATACATGTTCGTTGGCGACACAATGAAGAATGAAGTGGAAAACGTGATACGGAAGCTACGACCGGCTTTACAAATGAGACTACGTTTCATTACTCACTTAAACGTGGAACAAATAAACACCGCCTAGCAGAACGACTACTACAGCTACACTCCGTCAAGCTCTAGCTCGAGCTCGGAGTAATACTGTAGTATGAAATATGAATAGTATTATATTGACAGTGACAGTGACAATGACAGTGACAGTTGTGAGACAAAAATGTCACATGTGAATTGTAATTTTGTTGTAACAAGGAGGTAGAGTTCTGTTATACTTCTGATAGTTTGTGTATATGCTTTTAATTTGTGTATATACTGTTTTGTGTATAGTACAGATGGTTTTCGGTCTCAACAAGGGTTTCTGTATGATTCTGACCGATTATGTATACTTCTGAAGGGTTGTATGTCTTAATGATGGTTTGTGTATCTTGCTAATGATTTGTGCATAGTACTGATGTCTCATATAATCTGCAGATGGCTTATATATCCTGCTTATAATTTGGGTTGCAATCACTCTGAAGAAATTTGTTTATTAGCAGATATTATATATTTACATCCGATTTATTATTAGAAAGTGATGTAGATTTTACGATCAAATTATGAGTAATTAATGTTAACAAGTAATTTGAAGTAACTGTGAAACATGACTCAATATACATGTGGCCTTCTATATTAAGTCCATAAAGATAAACACAACAAGTAATTTTATATACCAGATTAATTTCATCATGTTTAAGGTACTAATAGTACACAACTTTAAGATAACATTTGGCTGGCTTCAAATGTGGTATAGTCATTAATAATTTAGGCATAAATTTGACCAATGTTTTAGCACAATTAAAATTCATAAGTATGATAGTGCGCTAGCTTTTGGAAGAAACTAAGTTTAGGACAGTTTTTATTAATGGTTTTTTCATTAATGTAAGCACTGATATTGTCGTGATTTGACTCATTGTAAGGTTTCATTAGTACAAATTGAGTAACATGTAATTAAGTAATCCAATGATATAAATATAACTGATGACCGCAGTATAGTGAGTTAAAGCAATAATAATGTACAAGATATGTAGAAATGCTGTCTATTGACAGTTATTGTATTTTGATAAAGTTACAGACATGTTGAAGTTCATTAAAGTGTCAAAGATGCAGATTTTAAATATATTTTTTGATGGATGTAAGTAGTTGAACATAGGTTTTGTTCTTTATTATTACAAAAACAGAAAAAAGTACATATGCTATGTATTTGTTTTGTCTTCTTATGTTGTTTTTATTGCAAGAAGTCTCTCTAGGTCTGTCTGATATATTTATAATGAATAGATACTTGTTTTTTCCTTATTATCACCATTGTTTTGATATTTGTTGAACACTGAAAATATACCTGATACTTCCATCGATCTATATTGTGTCTTGAAAATCAGTGTGCCTTAAACTCACAGATACCTGTTATAAATACAAACAATATTACAATTATATCATATTATATACCATAAACCAAATATTGTATGTATAGCTAGAATTGTTTCCTAGTTAACATTTAATGCAAGAGGGTTTTCTCACCTCAAGCATACAGTATATAGATATTGAAGATATAGTCTCAATATAGAATCTTTTATGAAGTCTTAGTTGCTAGTACAACTTAGGTAATTACACATTGATTCTAAGCATTTCAATGTCACAACATTAACATCACAATATTTATAACAGTCATAGGAACAGTAAAAGAACAAAATGCAACTCATATTTCATTGTCAAAGTTAGTAAATTAACTAGTCTTATTTTTTTGAAAAGTGATATATCTTTTTGATTCTTAGCTTTTTAGTAGCTATTATTATCTTGCCTAACTCAGGTGTTCGGAGCTTCATTAAGAATTGTCTATTTTTAATGAAGCTAATCGCAATGTAGAGTTGAATATATGAAATGTAATTAATTATTAAAGTTCAAATTTATGTTCTAACACAAATGTAATCGCACATTTATCTCAACAATTAAAGTGAGTAATGTTTTAACGGTATTTATTTGTGTACATAAATAAGAGTATAGCACATTGTTTTGTTATATCAGCCACAAAATCTTTACAGACAATAGTTCTTTCCTAGAATGACGCTACGCTTATTATATTGATAATATAATATCAAAGTTTGAATGAAGACAGTTACTATTTTTATTAGTATTTCCATTAATAATGACTAGATATAAGCTGGTGGAATATAGGACAATGCGCTATGCTCTTTTCTTGTACTTCACATTACTCCTTAATAGCAAAGATTTGACATTTTTTATAGATTATGTATATTTTATTATACTTTTTTACAATTAATTTATGACATAAATTATTAAAATGCCTTTGATACAATTGTAAGCAATAGTTAATGTAGTTGTATAAGTATAATTGACCTCAGATTTATCTTTACATTAACATATGCAAATTTTTACTTACATATATTTTATGATATAGGTAAGATAAGAGTTATATGCCTCGTTTTAGAATAGTAAATAAAATATTAGAGTAGTTTAAACACTACGTATTGTAGAAAATTATGTTCTCATTAGTTATAATTTAAGGTCAGATTTTGATTAGATGTGATCAATAAGTTTTATAAAATAGAGTAATTTGAGGTTACAATAGCAGTAAATAAAATAAGTTTATCATTCTTGTAATAATTTAGATAATTAGGAATAAAATTTTAAAGAGTCATTAAGTGAAAAATGAAATCAATTGTAACTGTTCTTTACATAAAGAATATTATTAAAGAAGAAATAATGCTTATTTGTTCTCTTTCTTCTAAGATCATTGCAATTATGTCATTTACACAGTTTATGCATACCACCTAGTATGTTTTACCATTTTATACATAATATCACATGTTATACTACCATTAATAACTTAGTAAATATTGTTATTGTTAATATAAAATTTATATTATGAATCATGAACTGCCATTTTAGACGATTTTTACAATCACAATAGAAATAATTCATTTTAAAATGTCAATGTATTCATAATTAAAAATTCGCTTATAAATTTACATGTAGTTATCATTTTATAAACACCATGCATCTCGCTTTTCAGTTTCATTTCGTTTTTCGTGCATATTTTTTTATTTCATCTAATGTATTGATTTAAAAATATTTATAAAAACGAAACGAATGGGCTGTATATTAATACTTTAATATTGTATTTAAAGATTATAAAAAACTCATTAGATAATAGCAGTAATGTTTCGATTTCTAGTAATAAAATGAGATTCACTTTTCATTTACTCTTTTTCTTATCCCATTTACAACTTAAAACATATTTACGTAATTATTCCTCTCGAGATTTAACAATTGGTAAAATTTTAACTAACAGTAGTATCAAGTATCTATAATAACAGAGGTTCCTCTTTAACTTCTTTCAATTCTTTCCATTATTTTTAAAAGTCCTCGAAATACAGATAAAATGGAAAATAATTTCGATGAATTGTGTTTATTATCGTCTATAATTACAATTACCTACCTGATATTTATAATTTTATTCATTAGTCATTACCAAACGGGTTTAGATATTTTTTTAAATATTTCAAATGTACCTACTAGCGGAATTAAAATATTATCCAGCCAAAAAATTGCACTTATATTAAAACAAAAATTTAAACACTTTTAAAATCACTTCAGGTTTTGAACCTAAAAACGTGATGCTAACGTTAAAATAATAATATTAGATAATTTATAGTTATTTTCTGACTTGAATTATTGTAAAATATGTTTGATTATTATAATCAATATATCACTATCAGCGGTCTTTGAATGTTTCAAACTTAACCGACATCCAACCTTTGTTTTCAAATTTCGCTCCATTTCTGAGTTTGATTTTTTAATACCACATTTTAGTTAGCCGGCTCACGTTCAAATCAATTATTTCAGTTATTATATAAATTATTGTGAACTCTCATTCTCAACTAATCTGATATTAAGTACGACATAATAATTTATATCATTCTAATATTATGTTTTTATGAAATTTTTTAATGAAGCAATGTTTAAATTTTTGGAGTATTATTGTCGAAATCCACTAATTAATTTTATAAATAAATCACTACTGGGGAATAAAATAATAAAGGTATTTTTAACTATAACTCTGTAATAAAATTTATATAGATTATTAAATAATTGTAATAATCACTTCATAAACGCCATCTCAATATTTAAAATTCCAATTTATAGACTTATATTAAAATGTGTATAAAATGCAATGATATGTTAAAAGTTATGAAACTTTTTATTTAAAATATTTATATCATAAATACCAGGTCGGGAGAAGCCGCCATTTTGTAAAACGGTGGGACGACGTGATATTGAACGGCGTTGCTTGGCAACCAGTTATTCAGTCGGGTCCCAGCCAGTTGACTATCTGTGAGTCGGCCTTACGGTAGTCAGTTATATCGGTAACGCCGTGAATGCACCCTGTGTTTGCGGTTGTGAATTAAAAATACTGAAATAATTTGCGGGTCGCGCGTGCGATAAAAACACCTGTGTGTATTATTTCTTCCACCATGGCTACTGAAGTTATTAATAATGTACCCGAAAATACTGAAAAGGAGAAGGAAGTAAAAGACGACGCCGCGCCAGATAATGGGCAAACAAAAGAAGCTCCACCCGAAGGGGAAAAAGCTGAAGGGAAAGTAGAAGAAAAAAAGGCTGAAGCGGCACAGCCCAAACCTAATGTTCACAAAATTAATTTCGAAAAAGATATCGTTTATTTGTACCAGTTTCCACGAACGCCTTTGTTGCCGTCAACTTCGCCCTACTGCTTGAAACTTGAAACATGGCTCCGTCTAGCCGGCATTAAATACGAAGTAAGTGCATGTTTTAAGTGTTTATTAAAATATTAATTTCACATTTTATTTTCATTTTACTAATTTTATTTTCATTTTACTAATGTTTGCTAGCGTATCGTATCGACTGTTCCATGTTTGAATGTTAAACTTTTATACAAAGTAAGGTGTGGCGCGGGTGGATCAAATTATAATCTTACCCTTTTTTTATTTATTGTAGACTTTGATAATTTACTGCAGATCATTAATATATTTTCAATTCTTTCATGGAACAAAACTTGCGCTGTTAATTTGTTAAATAATTCAATATTTAAAACTAATCTGCCGCTGCCGCGAATTCGGCTTTGCAATTGTACGTGGTATTTTTTTTTTTTTGGGAAATAATTAACATTTCTTTTATATTTTTACTGAGGGAAGTTAAGATTTTAAATTTATTTTTTTAAATAATCATAAGGTACATCAGAATTACATTCAGCAAATATGGCGCCGAAATTAGGTTACTAATTTTGTGACGATTATAGAAAGTTAGAACAGAAGAAGAGACAACGAATTTTAATGTATTCTTAAAATGAAATACATATATTAAATGTTTGGGCGTGACAATTTGAGGTAAAGAAAATTTAAATTTACGGTTGTAGGTATTTCGATTAAGGGTTTTTTGTTCTTATTTGTTTGGGGAACAACGGATCTTTTATACAAAATTGTAACGTATGCGCTATAAATCTGCGCGCCAGTCACAAAATGCTGCACCGCGCATATTAGGAGATGAGATTCTGACCCGGGCAACCTAGGACCAATCATAGCTATTCCCAGGACTCTAGACGATGTGACCTGCGCGACCTTTCAGGGATTTGCGCATGTCCTAGCTCCATTTTGAATCCTCTAGAATTTTCAAAACGAGATTTTCTTTTTCTATATGTTATATATAATACAATGTTCTTAAAATTAATAACTTTGACTTTTAAAGAATATTTCGTTGAGAGATATCCAAGTTATAAATAAAAAAGTAGTTACTCCGGATCTTTTAACATTTCAGTTAACTACAAAACTACGCATTACCTCGAAGGCTATGCACTTGGTCCAATCAACTGCGCCATCAAGGGCCAAACTCGTTTATATATTTTAAACACGCCATATTGCAAATCAGTTTTATATGGTGCGACCATAATTGTTTGTACTTGTCAAGTCTGTAAACAATAGCGCAAAGAAAAATAAGTATACGTCCAAGTCTAGTTAAAACATCGAGTTATTTAAATTATTTTTAGTTTTATATCTCGATTAAATAATTCTATTTTCATACATTATATTTTTTATCATTTCCGATAACTTATTAATTTTTTTATCTTTCAACAAAATTACTATTTGAAATCGAACTCTAAGTAAGGAAAGATTCGTTCATATTTCGGTGTTAAACTAATTAACTATAACACTTCAAAAGTACTTAAATGTCTAGTCTTTTGATATGTTGTCGCCAGAATAAAATCACTTACTGCATAGCTAGTTCATAGATGTCGAACGAAAAACGACCGCACCTTCTAGGGATGACACGTGATGTTATGCGAATGCAATTTATATACAGTTTTGCATCTATTATAAGTATTATTAATATTTATTTAGACAGAGAAATCGCGATTTCACTATTCATACTATTTTATATCTTAAGCCTTAAAACCCTATCATAGAATTTATTATAACATAAATGTAGCTTCAAACTTTCAAAATAATTTTTTTAATACTCACTCCGTGCTAGTTTGAACAAAGGATTTAAATGCATAATTAGAAATGGGAAATGTCTGGAATGGTTGCCAGATGTCGAGTAATTCTTTTATTCTGAATAATGCTCTTGAAACAAAAAGACCACGCATTATTTGTCCAGGTACGGCATTGTAAAGCTTTGTAACCCAAAGTATTCGAAGTCAGGTCAAAAATATAATGACGTCGGCTTTGTAATCTGGCTAATCACGGGATCTCATTACGGAGTCCTAATAGCATCGCAAGCGACTTCCTTCGTATTTAACGGATAACAGCATGTTAAACTGTTTACAATTTATAGGTACATTATATACTTAAGTGTTTCCGTTCTCATGACACCATTGAAAATCAAGCCATTACTTGCATCTCACAGACAAGTAGCATTCACAATGTATGTAGTTAATCATTTATCTGTTACATTCACTTACATATCACTTGAAATAATATAACATTTTAAAGTTTAGATATTATTTTTTTAATACATGACCCGGTTTGTATAGAGTAATAAATTTAATTTTAGAAAGCATTATAAAAAGGGCCGTTAAGACGTGATACAAAAAGTTAACTGGAGCTAATATAATTTGACTGGACATTTTGGGAACCCTTAACGTATATATTTATATATACTTTTTATATAAACGATATATAATATTTAACATGTCATACTCATGTAACTAAACATCAAATATAATGAAAAAGTGCGAAATATCGCTGTCGTTTCAGTCCTAAATTGCATTTTTTGCAATTCGATCTATTATGTCAAATGATAATTTGAATGATTGAAGTACAACAAGTCACTTTCTAAACCGCGATCGTGATATATAGTTAGAATCTTGTTACAATGGTTAGTTTGTATTTCTAATGTAGCGGTTAGTAGCCCATGTGTCGGAGGGAGCGGTCGGTCATTGACCACGCTAACCTTGCACACGCTATCAAAGTATCAACTCATAAATGATAATATATAACGTTTATCTCCCGGTCGATCATCAGCCTATTATATTAAATTATTGATTTTTATTTATGACATTGAAAATCGTTGTTTTGATACAGATCGTGTCACACTGCTTCTGTTATTTTAATATAAATAAACTATTAATTTATATAACATATCATCTAGTTCAACAAACCCAGTGTAGTAGATTCATTACATCAATTATTTTAATTATTCCATCATGTACAGTCACCCTCGTCGAGTAATGAATTAAACTTATTCGTCCATATTATTTCAAGACCCCTTCTCGTGTTGTCGCCTAAATAGATGATGAAATTAATGGCCGTCATTATTAAGGTTATTGTACTGTAAATTACATTTATCACATCGTTTGACTAGCTTCTTTGTTATTATTTATAGAACATTTCACATTTTTACTGCATATGACTATATAGTATAGTGTATATATCGTAAAAACTAGTTATGAAATTAAATGTATGTACTAATCTTATAAACCATTAGTTGTGTGACTCGAAAAAATTAATTTTTGGAATTGTAGACATGAAAAAGCTTTCGTTTGACCTCAAAATGACGGATATGTGCTAAAATCGCGTGCAGACTAAAACAGTTTCACTCTTACGAAATGCTAACTTCTACATTGTGAATTAAGACATTGTTTAAATCGAAATACTAATGTATGAAAATTATAAAAAAAAACAAAGTACCCTTAGAGCTGTTATTAGATTTTAAATATGCATATAGTATGCGTGTGCCCAGAATTGCACGCTTGCGCATGTATAATATAAAGTATGCAAAGAATGTATTGGCATTACAAATTGTTTAAGTATTACCTATTGGTATTGCAGGTCATGCTTCGTGGACGTATGCACGTATCATAAACGTTGATCCCGAGGGACCAGCTTTGTTAATAAATATGCGATAATGAGTGCATAACAATAAATCACTATTATTATCATTTGAATAACAATGTAGTATGTAATAAATATAGGCGGTATATTATAATAATTAAATTGTCTTTGTTTTGATGTGTATTGTCTTATAAATAGCCCTACCTTGTAGTGTTCGGTGCTACGTACATTAAAATTGTTTTTAAGTAATTAATGGTCATAGTAATCGTGCAAAAATATTTTTGCTTCCGATAGAAAAGTCCATGTTTGCGGTTGAAGCTTTCTCAAAAGTTGTCCCAGCACTATAAAATTGTGTTGTAAAAGCCCGACATACTTTCTTCTGGTTGTGCTCATTCGTTCTATAAGAAAGCAGTGAGAGCAGAGCACTAGAAACCTAGGTCTTGTGATTGTAGATCATCGCATACGAGTAGCTACTTTGGAACACTAACGTTGTAAAAGGCATACGTAAGAAAAACATGAAGTTTTTGATTGAAATAGAACAGTATCTCAACAGCAATGCGGAAAATAATATTGAGACAAGAAAAATTTGTGATTGATACAAAAAGAAAATGGCTAATTCAAGCAAGGTAGTGAAAATAGTCTTGTATTCGGTTCATCTAATGTCTGGCCATTCGATTCTGATGTATATGGCATGAAAGTGAAAACATCCTATGTATTCTAACAGCGGTAAGTGAAAGAAGGGACGTGTTAAAATTCCATTGCGTGTGTAGGTCTACCCTTCGGGAATATGAATTTTGGGTCCGGTCCTAAATGAGAACTAAGTTGACGCCGTCACGCAACACCTCTGCCTTACCTAGCTCACGTCACCGATACTTAATTAGGGGACACCGATTATGGTGAAACTGGGTTCGTGTCAAAACCTTATTAGTTTATGGTAACGATGTCATCATTCTAATTCAAATTGACACCCAAAGCCTCCCCTATTACCATCGCTGACTTCTGTTTTCTAATCAAATGCTTTTAGTAGCTTTTATATCAGACTATTAATGCTATAATATTATATGAATATCATACCACGGCTGAGTATTGTGTAGGTCGTTATATACTACAGTCCTTAGAGACTCGAAATGCAATGGGGAAATTAGGTAGACTGTCTTAACAGTCTACAATGCAAATTAATTAATATTAATAACTGTTTATTGGCCAATCGGCACGTTTTACAATGAAGTAATCTTTTGTTAAGGTTATCAAGGTAGTATTTAATATTCCGCTGCTTGTTTTAAACGAACGTATTTGGTGCTGGAATGTCGGCCAAGTGGGATCGAGCACCTTCAGGCGTATACGGCGGAAGTAGGTATTATAAAAGTAGTCTGAGTGTAACCCTATTTTTCTCCTATTGTAAATTAAAATGAATACAGTCTTATGAATTCTTGTAAAGAAAAAAAACGAATTTTCATGAGCACGTTTAT